ACATGCCCTGGGATGTGGGAAGCCCAAGGAGGTGGTGCAGAACTTGCATCGCGCACGTGAGGCTTGAGGCAGCAAAGGCCTGACTGCCCCCTCCCACAGGTGGCCCAGGGCTTGCCACCACCCCAGGGGGATGGCCCAGCCCTCCCCTCCCCAAATGCTGCAAGGGCCTGGCAGCCTAACAACAGCTTGCTCCCCCCAGCCCTGGGACAGTCAGGGAGGCTGCGCCAGGAGCCAGAGCAGAAATGTGGCTGCTTTTCTGCTTCAGAAGCTCCTACAGCTTCCAGTAGGCTGGAGGCCCCAGGTAAGCTTCTGGCCAGCCCTGGGAGCATTGCAGGGAGCCACCTGAGGCTGCTGGGGGCAGCACATGGTCTGGGAAGTCCAGGGATGTGGTGCAGAAGTTTCATCCTGCACCTGAGGCTTGGGATGGCAATGGCCTGGCTGCCCCCCACCCCCACGGGCATCCCCAGTGGGTGCTGCCACCCTGGAGGGAAGGCCTAGCCCTCCCCCTCCCTGCAGGGTCCCAGCGGCCGGGCAGCAGCTCACCCCCCCCAGCCCCAGGACAGGCAGGGAGGCTGTACCAGGAGCCAGAGCGGAGCCATGGCTGCTTTTTTCCTGCAACCTCCCCGAGCTTCCCACACCCCAGGCCGGGACCCTGCCAGGTCAGGCCCTGCCCCAGCAGCCTTAGAAGATGTTCCGTGCTGCCCCTGGGGTTGGCCAGGAGCTTCCCCAGGGCCCCTGGGCTCCTTGTTGCCACAGGAATTTATGTAGCAGAAAAGCAGCTGAGGCCTGGGGCTGGGGAGCAAGCTGCCACTGGGCCCTTGTGGGGCTGGGGGGTGCAGGCCTTCCCCCTGGGGTGGTGGCACCCACTGGAGCCTCCCGTGGTGGGTGGGGCAGCCGAGCCGTTGCTGCCCCGAGCCTCAGGTGCAGGATACAAGTTCTGTGCCACCTCTCTACACACTGGGCCACATTTCTACCAGGTCATGCCAACCCCAGGAGCCCCAGGTGTCCCCTGTGCTGTCCTCAGGGCTGGAGAAGGGGGTTGGGAGCCAGCAACAGCTGGCGGTGCCCCAGGGCCAGTGTCAATGGGGACTAGAGCAGGCTGGCAGGAGCCCAGGGCATGGCTGGATGGGCTCTCTGGAGCCAGGTTGGGCTACTCCAGCAGGGAGAGAGGGGAACCACCCTTCTCTGGACCCCACCAGCACCGGCTCCCACATGCCCCCTTGGTCCCAGCCCCTTCCCCCAGCCTCATAGCCAGATGGGGACCAGCACATGCAGGTCCCACACCCTCTTACCTGAGTTTCCAGCTCTGGCACAGGTGGGAACAGCCCTGTGGTCCCTCCAGCTGCAGGGGGTGGGGCAGGGTGGGCCCTGCTCTTCCAGGGGCCTGCTGTGGCTTCCCCTGGGTCCTACTATACAGGAGTCAGAGGCAAATAAATATTAACTTTTAAAAAATTTCTAGGGGCCCTGAAGGCTGGACAGAATGGCTTGGAGGGCCAGATCTGGCCCGCGGACCGTATTTTGCCCACCCCTGTTTTAATACCTTGTTTCACTAGCACAGTCCAACTGTTAACTCTTCTCTCCAACACTGACCACACATGAACTCTCATTGGGGCAGGACAGGTATGCTTCTTTTCTTCCTAGGAAAATTCATAACATTTCCTCCTCTTGCCAGTTGCTATTTATCTAAAACCCACAAAAAGATTATACTATACAGAACACACTTTAATCACTCTGTTGCTTTTGTTTTGACCACTTCATTTCTTCTCATGGCAGTCTAAACAAAACATTGTTACTTTTCACTGCTTTCAATCTGCCTTCCTATATTTTATTAAATCTAAATCAACCTTCTTTACTTACCAAGGAAGTAAGTCTACCTATATCCTACATAGATCTAATCTGGACACGTTTCCCATCATGTAAAAATATTTTTGAGGTTTCAAAAATTGAGAGAGAGAAAAAGAGAGATCAAATCCACTGGTCAGAGTATGTTTCTGCAATGTAAAAGACCCTTGTCCCGCCTGATTCAGACTAAAGACTTGAACCTTGGTTTCCCCCAGCCAAGCTGAAATCCTAAGCCCTTGAGTATTGTGGGATAGATGAGAATCTCTCCCAGTTAAGTTCCATCATTGTCAAAACTGGTATGCATGAAAAGTTTAGGCTTTGACAAACTGAAATTTTCCAGAGGAAAAAAAAATTGGAAAACTCTACCAGTTTTCACAGCTGGCCTTAGGAGTGGGCAATACGAGGGACTGCCCAGGGTGCCAAGGTTAGGGGGCCACACACATGCACACATACACATAAGCACACACACATGTGAGCCGCCCATGCTGACATCAGGACTCTTCCCCCACCCCACCCTGCCCTGGCCAATCCCTGCCCCAGGCAGGAGGAGTGGTGCCCAGCCCAGCCCACCTCCTGCCTCCAGTCACTGCTCAGGAGGAGATGGGTCAGGCATGTGCGGGTGGGGTGGCACCTGCTCCAGTCCACCCACCTTGCTCCTGCATAGCAGCAGCAGTGCCTGCCCACCCACTTGCCTGGCACACCATGCCACTCTGGCTCCCTGCCAAACCATGTCCCACATCCCTAACTACCTGCCTATGCCTGCAGCAGCTCCATAGACTTGGGGAGAGGGGAGAAGGATGCCAAAATACAAGTTCACCCAGGGCATCATTTTCCCTAAAGCCAGCTTTGCCAACTGTAACCCTCGCTTCATTTTCTGTGTTATTAATATTAGATCTGGCCAAAACCAGCAAAAGCCTCCATGAAAATGTACTCAGTAATACAGGCTTTTGGTCTGTGTTCATATTCATTACAGCTTTCTTTTCTTTAAACATTCTTGAGGCTGAATGTTGCTACCATGAATGTTTTAGAAAACAGATTTTACACTAAACATGCTGAAACACTTACAGGGAACATATTTTAAATTCAGTTTTCAGAAGCACTAACATCAGAAACTCTTACTAGTATGATGTGCATCAAACTGGAGAATAAGAAACGATGAAATGTCCTGTACATGACTGATTACAACTAAGCAAAACAACTCAAGTAACAAGCCACAGAGGACAAAAAATTCACAAATATGTCAGTAAGTAATTCTGAACAACAAATGGACTTGAGAAAGAATACCTATACACAGACATGGTACAAGGAAATTGTTTGCCAACATTTAACTACCAAATTATTTATTTGTAATTATTCATCTGAAGCTAGTAAACATTATTGAAAGAAGCATATTATATTTCATTCTTGAAATCTTGCCTCGATCCCGAACGCTTGTATTGATCTGATACCAAAATTATGGATGTACTATATATCTGTGACTATCTTTTCTAATATTTTGTAAGATTGTGATAAGTACAGATGTTAATATAACAATATAATTGGGGGAGAGGGCAGGGAAATTGATTTGAAATCAAAGGTATTTTTACCATTGACTTTAGCCCACCTGCCTCTGCCTGCAGCAACACCATAGAGTTGGGGGGATAGGGAGGGGTGCCAAAATAAAGGTTACTCAGGGCACCATTTCCCCTAAGGCCAGCTCTGTAATCTTTTCTTCATTTTCTTTGTTATTAATATTAGATCTGGCCAAAACCAGCAAAAACATGAATGAAAATACTTATGAAGTACATGTAGAGTTATGCAGTGAGACCCAGATCCTCAGAAATATCTACCCTAACTCCTACTGCTGTTAATGGGAGCAAAAATATCTAAACACCTTTGATGATCTGAGCACTTACAAGTTTTATGCTCTCATTTGCTTCAGTCCCAGAGGGTGTGTCTACAAGTCACCGTGCGGTGATGTTGGCACGACACCGTGTGGTGTGGTAGCAACGTACTGCATGCTGTGGGTGGTGCGCAATTAGATTTTGCTGCTACATCACTGTAGTGGTGTGCTAAAATGGGGGAGCGTGCTGCTATGACGATGTAGCTGCCAATCCCATGTAGACCTAAGTGATTACTATGTCGTCGTAGCAGACCATACAGCGATGCAACATGTCAATATGTTGCTGTAGGGCGATCTGTAGACGTGCCCAGAGATACTCTGTTTAACAGCAATTGTTCATTTAGGACCACGTTTGGAAAGGAAGAGTCTTAAGTTACATAGGTAATAAGTGTGGGTGCTTCTAAGTACAATTACTTTCACTTCAAGCATAAATAATGTGTCGTAAATAGTTTGGTGTTTGCTTGGTTTGGTTTTGTTTGTTTTATTTTCTCTGACTTTAGACATTCTGGTTTTTGTCCTCAGCAACAATACTGAAATGACATATGAAATCTTATCTGCCCAGCCACATATTTCTGTGATACCCATTAGCACTGCATCTGACCATTGCAAAAATGCATGGAAGAATTCATCCTCATAATGCCCCCATGAAGTAAGGAGGTATTAACCCCAGTGAGAACTGGCACACTGAGGCACAGGCTGCTTAAGTGATTTCCCTAGTGGCAGAACTGAAAACTATAAGAGTACCTATACATGTGCTCGGATGCATTCTGATTAGAATGCATCAGAGCAGACTCAACTAATTGAGTCTGCTGGAGCATTCTAATTAAGATACTTCAGCATGCTGCAGCATCTTGCATATTCAGCATCCTGCATTTCAAAATGGCAGCGGGGGTGCTTTAACTAAGGCTCATCAAACAAGCTCTAGTTAATGTACCCTTGCTGCCATTTTGAAATGTGGGATGCTGAATATACAAGATGCTGCCGCATTTTAATTAAAGAGGCTCCCAAGACCTGCTTTAATTAAAATGCCCCTCCCTGCAACCCTGGAGCACGTGTATAGGTACCCAAATCCCCAGAAGTAAATCTTTCATTTCCGTAGTGGCAACTAAACCCACCACTCCTGAGTTTCAGAGTCCCTTAATCACAACACTCTGCAAGGGCTTCGATTGCACTTTCTATAACTCACCTAACGCATAAAGATACTAATGTACCAAAGGATGCCATACCAGTGCTTGCTGTATCATTCTCAGCCCAATATTTATGATTAATCTGCTTTCTATTTGTATTGTATTTGAACTTTTGGATGAACCCTGCAGTCAATATCCCTGGCATAACCTGATTTGAGTGAGTCTGTTTTATGGCAAGGATCTAGCCATATGCAAGTGGGTACAAGTTCTTAAGCTTCTGTCCATCAGTTTTGATGTTCCAAAACTTTTGAGTACTTTATATTACAACCTTAATAAAGGTCTTCTACCAGGGTTTCTTTTGTATGTAATGTATGCAGGAAACTGCTCCAGCTGTGTGCTGTACATATAATTTCAGATGAATTTGCTGGGTTGTAGGTGTTGTCTTTTTGGGGGACAGAAAAACCTAAGAATTTGTTGGGCGCCTTTAAGAAGGCAAATTGAAAACAAAAATAAAAATATCATCATGCCACTATACAAATCCATGTATAGTGGATCCATTAATAGCTACAGAGCAGAAGAGTCAGAGTATCCTCTGGCATCTCTGAACCAATGACAGTGGATGGCAGACAAGGTAAAACAGAAGCTAGATCACTTTAGATATACTTTGTTCATATGCTCTGCCTCTAATGCATCTACTGTCTGAGACAAGATACAGAGGTAAATAGACCCACTATGTTATTTCTTATGTTCTTATATACTTCTGAAATAAACACCCATGCAGTTTGTTGTTCTATTGCTGTCTTCTGGTAATAACAAAAAACGTGCTTCAACGAATTCAGTGCTAGTTCCACAAGCCCACTACTTCTTACAGCACCTAAATCAAAAATAATGAAATGCTGTTTTGATCCCGAGTGATAACTCTATCATGATAAGCTGGACTGACTCAGAAAGGTGTGTCTTTCAGCACACTAGTTAGCCTTCTCTGTCCCCATGTTTAACTTGAAGACCAGTCTCTCTCTTTCTAGCATATTCTTGCCTTTTCAAATTACTGGTTAATACTGTAGTAGCAAAGATAAACTTCATAAAATAGATTAAATACTAAAAATGTAATTATGTTTTAAATTCAATGTAAATGTTTAAAAGTATAAAAACTTTGTGTTTTTGCATTTAGTACTGAAACCTCTCATGTATATGTATAGAGCAATTGACCACCCATAAAACTGTCTCACAAATTTCAAAGTAATGGTTTGTGTAATTATATTGAATCAGAGGGGTCCTGTTACTTTGTTCATAGCTGGGGGAAAAAAAAGCTTATGTAATACTGAAATGAAATGTTATTACAGTCTCACTTACTCATTCTTGGAATTGGCTTAGTGATTACTTCAACATCGACATCAGTGAAAAACATTTGACATCTGGCCTAGAAAATCAGACAGCAGACCACAGAGACTTTGATTAAAAAACTTCATGCAATTTTCTGCAATCAGTAAGTTGGCTTATTCTTTTATCAGAATGAAGGTTTCTTTCATCACCTGCAAATTTCTAGGAAGGCAAGAAAGAAAGAAAGAAAGAAAGAAAGAAAGGTTTGCAAATTTTTATATGAATCTCCATTTCTGCAAAATATTACACATAATAGCCTGTCCAGTTTTACAAAAGATTTGATTATTTTTGTTAGCAAATAGTCATGTTTCATTCTTTTAGCAATTTTGTTGTAACTTCTCTACTATCTAAGTGTGCTGTGCCACCCTTCTCTATGTAATGATTTTGCAGCACTCTTGCATATGTCACACTCACATGCTGTGAAAAGCTTTTTCATACCCACTGCATGTCACTGACTGATCCCAAGGTAGAAATAACATAGGCCACTTAATTTTGGTATTTTATACCCGCCTCTAGAGCACAGTCACTCTATAATGGAAAGAATGGACTGTTAGCACAATATTGCAACATAGATCCTGAAACAAACTGCACTGCAGTATCATCATGAATTAAAGTCTCAGGCTGATACTCTAGCTCATGGCATAAGAGAGTAGGACATCAATGAACTCATGCAAGAAACACTGCAGTAATGAGCCATCACAGTGCCTTTCCTCTTTGAGGCAAATTTATATGATGAAATTTGATAATTAACTTATGTCCAACAAACTAATTTCAATATATCTGTTTTCAGGTCACAGAAAGTTGCTGAAGCCATTGCAAATACAATACCCCATCTTCCTCTTCTGTCACAAGGACAAAGTCCCTGCTAATATAATGTCACAGTAAATTTGCTTATCTCTTACGAACAACGAGGTATGCTATAAAATATGTTCGCACTATCAAAACATTCATAATCAAATCCTAATAAAATTATGAAGTTGAAATAAAAGGGAACTACTGTATCTCTATATTGTATGGTAGAATGTAATCCTTGAAAGGGATAATGCTTGACAAACCCCTCTGCTTTATATATTTTTTCTTGACTGCTTAAATCTACAAGGGGGAGAGAAGAATTTGGAGGTCCCCAGAAATAAAAAGAAAACCTATCTTCAAATGAAAACTGAGAAACAGGAACGTTAGTCTCAAATATAATGATACAGTACATTTCCAAGGCGCTGTCCAGATAGGTCACAGTCAGTCCAAAATATTTCTCTAGGGATGCCTTTTTGTTATTCTTGTTACTGTTTTTTATTAAAAGCAACAATGTTGCTTCCTTCTTGACAAGACATAATTTATATTATGCAACAATCAAAGGAGCATTGGTACTACTAAATGAAGCACTTATATTAACACAATAAAACACTGCATTGTCCAAATGCACTTCTACAGTGACACACCAATTTGGTCAAGTAATAGTGATATACTTGTTAGAGCAGGAAGTATCTCTTTCTACATGTGTGGACAGCATCTAGCACACTTGAGGGTGCTAAAAGGATACAAAAAAGAATAATGATATTTAATTTTTTTTATATCTTACTCTTAAAGATCAATCTACTAATTCTAAAAGTGCATCTTTAAATTCCGGAGTGGCATTACCACTTTAAAGATGAATCATCACAGCATAACAAATGTACTGCTAGGAAGGATGTTGAAGCTGGTGGATATAAGAAAGGCACCTCATTCAGATTAAATATAAGAAACAGTTAAGCTCTTTTTGGAGTAAGACAGTATCATGTACTGTACAAACCACACACCAAACGTAAGGGAACTCAGAAACTGAGCTGTGGAGTTTACTGGGAGCTACATACGAACACAGAGAGCTTGATATAATTTGAGAAACCTGTAGCTTTCTGCTACCTAAAGCATGTAAAAACAGAGAGAAAACGGGAACAAATAGGTGCAAGATAGCCAAGGAGACAAGAAGAAAAGAACTTCTAATTGACCTTGAGGGGGCTCTTTGGGCAGACTGATGACTTGAATAATGTGCAAATTGTGAGAAAAAAACTGCCTCCTATTTTTTGCCACCTCCTATGCTCACAGAAACTGGATTTTAATGTTATTTTTGGGAATAAACAGGACGACATGAAAATATATGACACTAGTCTCCAAATGGAAACAACTATAAGACACCAACAACTGGTAACTACTTGGATCCAAAGAAATAACATACTGATTTTTATATAATACTATAATTTTGTGTACATAAGTTTCTGGTTATTCTATTTTTCCTCTTGAATATATTTTTAAACAAGTTGAGAAGTTCATTCTCTTATCCCTTTTGACTGTCAGACCCACAAGAATACATACTACAAGTTCTACAAATATCAAAGCCTCGGTGCTCTCTCAAAGCTTACAATTTTCTACAATACTGTTCTAGATCAGTACTGTTTCTACTTGAAAACACTTTATCCAGATGATACCTTATAAGGAAAATGATTTATTATGCTGTATCTATTTATGCAATGGATCCTGTAGAAACCTCAGATGAAACAGATTCTGCCTCATGGTAATCTGTAGTACCAGGGTTCTAGATTCAATTTTCTAATATACTTTTCTAATTTATTATGCAATAGTGATATATTTAGCACACCAAACTTTTCCTAACTATAACAGTAGGCTGCATATTAAAAACAGACCAGTAAAATGTTCTTCTTATATTCAATTTCAAATGCCAAAGTATGCCAGCACTAAATGACATGGCACTTCTTCCTTACCTATTTTTCTCCTGAAATCACAACATCAATAAACATGGCTAACTCTTTGTAAAAGGGCTGGAGATCTGACTTTCCTATTTATCTCAGAACAACCTTCAAGTATCATCAGTTTGAGCATCTGTTGTTCTGCACTATCATGAAATAAAAACCATCATCCTGTAAAATTTTATGTAGAGCATAAGCAGCTTAATTGGCTTGTTTTAATCAAAATAGGAACTTGGTTTAAGTGGGTTTTTTTAGTTTTTCCGTCAAAACAAGATTAACTTCTCCTATGACACAGGCAGTCTCTTACTTTTCCTTTCCATTCCTTTTATACAGTTATATATGAATAATTGATTTTTCAGGTCAGTGCAGAACCAAAAATTCAAGAAAAATTCATTTTGGGTCACTAGAAATGAATATATCTTGTTTTTTTCTCAATGAAATTAAAAACAGGGAAAAATTATTTTAGGTCAAACAAATGATCCCAAATGAATAATTTAATTCTAGTTTTGGGTGTTTTCAGCTGTACACGTCAAAGTTTGACTTTTTTGTTTCATGTGTACTTATGAAACTGTTTGCAATTAATGGAAAAGTCTCATGCATCGTTTCTGATTTTTTCATTGCACCATTAGAGGAGCACAGTTAATACTGCCTTGGTATTAACTGTGCATTGAGAGGTATAGAAAGTCAACTCTGGTGCACTTTCTATACCTTTAGATGTTTGGTATTCTAAATGCATCCTTAACTCTGAATGTCTAGGATTTTGCTTATTAATTTTATTTATGTTTAATTGTTGTTTTTCATTATAACTTTGATATATTCTGTTAAAACATTATTTTCCCTTAAGTTATTCATATATACCCTAAATCTTAAATCAAGAATAAAAAAAATTAGAACTGTTTTTTTTTTAGTGTTTTTACACGCACTAGAAAACATGAAGCAGGGGCCTCTAGATGGCACTCAATAAGGCAGAAATAATGGTCTACTCAAGCAAGGTCATATAATTCATAATAGCTCATATTTCATAATTTTCTTTTTCGTCACTTTTACCAAAGTATATCTGCGACATCCTTTAAAGTAAGGCTCAAGGCATTTTACATTCTTTTCAGTTATTCACTTGATCTTGGGAAGGTGTGCATTGCTGGCTAAATTATACTGCCTCCCATTTTGGGCTGTATTTGGTGTATTACCTCCATTTTCGTCAAAATAAATTTTAATTTTTATCTGTTAAAAGGGCAAAGCCTGTAATATAAGGACTATGAATTTTTGAAGATGAAAACCTGATTTGAAAACTTTCTCTGAGAAAGTATTATAAAGTACTTTGATACTACAAATTAGAAATCTGTCAACTACAGAGTCACTTAAATTTTCATCTGTTCATATAATGAAATGTTGTTTTGCACTGGATTGCTGAACTTCCAAATTATACATACTGTAAGAAATTTTCTTGGCATTAGGAATCATATTTCTGACATATTTTGCTCTGTAAATGCAGTCTCCTGGTACCATATGGAGGTACTAAATCTTTAGTGACTCAGAGGAAAAATGCCACCTACTGAATGAGCAATACTGTTTCAAACAGTACTGTGTGTGCTTTATAGGTCTCTAATTCAAATACTGACAGGGTCAATCTAGTTAAATTGTGAGATCTGACAGTAATACAAACCACAGAAGCTGTAGGCTTCATATAAAGGGTAGCTGAAACAGGGGACAAAGCCAGATCCTGTTTGGTTTTAGAGGTGCCTACATGTAAACATCCTAACACCTAAAATTTAGGCACCTCAGCCCAAGGGAGAGATCCAAATTGATCAGATTTAGCCAACTAGGAACCTGAAATAGCCAATTGGGAAACTTAAGCGCCTCCAAAGCATGATGCCATTTGACTGAGTGGTGCAAATTGAATGGGAGAAGGTAGGCATCTCCAAAGGCCCATTCAAAAAAGCAGGAAGCAGCCAAATGAAAACACTAAGCCCTGTGATATATCTGAGCTCCCCATTTTTCAGGAGCTCAGGCACCTGAAAATTAGGCATCTCTATTCACTTGTGATCCACTTCTGAGGGTAATTACTGCTGTGGTTCATAGATTCATAGATTCATAGATTAAGGGTCGGAA